CAGTCGCTGGAGAAGGATGTCATTCAGGGTAAGATGGAGGGTCAGAGAAAAAGAGGAAGACCCCCAATGAGATGGATTGGCCAAGTGGCAGCATCAGTGGACTCAAGTATGGCAACAGTAGTGAGGTTGGCCCAGGATTGGGCAGTGTTTTGTTCCGCTGTGCATAAGGTCGCTGTGAGTCGGTACTGACTAGATGGCACCTAACAACAACAGTAACAACATATCCCCAGCATTTAGAATCGCCTTCCAGTGTACAGCATTAAAAACAGTTGCCATCAAATTGATTTTGACTCATGGCGACCCCACATGCTACAAGGTAGAATTCTGTTCAACAGGGATTTCAATGGCTGGGAACTTACAGATTAACAGGGGTTTCTTCCAAGGTGCCTCTGGGTAGACTCCAACAACTAACCTTTAATTTAGCAGCTAAGCACATTACCTTGTTTGCCCCTCCTGTATGCTGTATTCTTTCCACTCAAGTCCAGCTACACTGCTTCTCATTTCTAGGCCTTTGCACATGATGTGTCCCGTACCTGAAACACCCTCTCCCTGTACCCCATTTTCCTAGGTACCTTCTACTCATCTTTCAGTCCAGCTTCCTCCAGAAAGTCCTCCCTTGTCCCCCAAGGACCATATACCATATACCATCCACCCCCCAAAACCACAAAAAACCTAGTGCCATCGAGTTGATTCAGACTCACAGTGACCCTACATAAGGTTTTTGAGACTGTAAATCTTTACGGGAGCAGTCTGCCTCAACTTTCTCCTGAGAAGAAGTTGGTGGGTTTGAATTGCCAACCTTGTGGTTATCAGCTCAATGCCTAACCCACAGCACCACCAGGGCTCCTCAGCATATAGTATAGGCTCTTTAAATATCCATTAATCATATGCTTTATAATATAGTTCAATGAGAGGGCTTCAAAAAGTTCATGGAAAAAATGGAGTTGTTAAGGAATTTTTTTTGTACAAACTCTTTCAAGTTCCCTTGTTTCACAATATTTCCCATAAGTATTTAACAAATGCCTAAGTGCCTATTAATGCGTCACAGACTGGGTATGTGGAAGTGGAGAAAACCAAGCCCATGCCCTTAACAGCTTCCTAGGGAATAGGGGATGGGTGGATAGATAACCAGGAACAAGAGTGCTTTCAAAAATTCATGTTAAGATGGTTAAAAGATCATGGAATTTCCCCACCAACTCTCTGAAGTCCCCACAGGAGTACCTGGCAGCCCACCACTGCTGTGATGGGAATACACAGGGCCTGTGGTCCTTGACCAGCTTGGGGGACAAGGGAGGACTTTCTGGAGGAAGCTGGACTGAAAGATGAGTAGAAGGTAGCTAGGAAAATGGGGTACAGGGAGAGGGTGTTTCAGGTACGGGACACATCATGTGCAAAGGCCTAGAAATGAGAAGCAGTGTAGCTGGACTTGAGTGGAAAGAATGGTGTTGTAGGTAGGGAGAGCTGAGGCCAGTGAAGTCCTGATAGGCCATTTCATGAAACGCCTTGAGTGCCACGCAAAGATGTTTTCCTTGACCTGAAGGGTACCAGGCATCTAGAGAAGGTCCTCACCCCTCCCAGGATGCAACAGCCACATGTGCTGAGCTGCAATGGGCTGCTGGGGGAAGCAGCACAGAGAAGGCCACTCACCTGGTGTGCTGCTGGAGGTGGGAGAGCTGTCGGAAGGACTTATCACAGTAGGAGCAGTGGTAGGGCTTCACACCCAGGTGGATGCGCAGGTGCTGGGCCAGGTAGGAGGCATTGGCAAAGGACTTGGAGCAGTGCGGGCACTTGTGGGGCTTGGCCTCTGTGTGCGACTTGGAGTGGATCTGCATCTCAGACTTGGTGAAGAAGGTAAGCGGGCAGACCTTACACCTGTGGGGCGAGAGGCAGGTTCACACCTGGAAGGATCCCCCATCTCCTGCCTACACATCTCAGGAGAGACCTTGTACCTGGGACAGAGCTTTCTTGATTGGAAGTCAATGGTACGCAGACCTGCCTGGAAAAGATAGGAGGCAGGCTCCCATCCTGAGTACCCTCCAATCTGCAGGAAAACGTTCACACCTGGGGGAATGCATATGGCTGCCTGGTAGGCAGGTTTACACTTCACAAGGGAAGAGAGGCCTCAGAATCCCCTATGGATCTGTCCAGAACCATACCCCAGGGTCTAGAGGAGTGGGGTGCTCTAATTAGATTAAGAAATGGTTTTCAACACCTGAGACTCATTACAATCATCTGGGGCATTTTCATGGAAGAAAGGTCTGGCAATCTCTTTCTGTTAAGATTGCTGTTGTGTGCCAGGTAGTTGGTTCCAACTCATAGTGATCCAGTATGGGGTTTCAGAGGAGTGGCTGGTAGGATCAAACAGCCAACCTGGTGGTTAGCAATTCAGTTGCTTATCCTACAGCACCACACCAGGACTCCGCTAAGATTACAGCCAAGAAAATTTCACTGAGCAGTTCTACTCTGTAACACAAGAGGCAGCCATGGGGCGGAATCAACTTGACAGCATCAACAATAGGTTCTTTGGTTCTGGGGTGAGGGGCACTTTAAAAAAAAAAAAATCATACTCTCTGGAGGCAGGGATCTGGTATTGGCACATTTTAAAAGATGCTCCTCAGTTGTAGCCAGGGCTAAGAACACTGCTTGAAGGGAGGAGGGAAAAACTTCATACAACCTCAGCCCACGGTTGGGAGGCTACCCCTCAACATCAACAGCTTGCATGCTCACATACAGGGCACCTCTGAAGGCCTGACTATTCCAGGACTGTGGGTGGTGTCTACAGGAGACCCCGCCCCTCCAGGCTTTAGCCTCCACCTCAGGCGGGCCCCTCTTCCAGGAGGGGCTGCTGGGCGGAGGCAGTCACTGGTTCCTTGCCCATGTCCCGAGCCCCAGGCCACCAGGTCCTCACCTGTATGTCTTGCCCTCCTTAGCGGTCTCGCCTGAGGCCAAGATGGGGTAGGGGACAACGAGGACAGGAGGCCCCCCTGGGTTCTCCGCCTTGATCTTTTTTCGGCCTCGCTCAGCCTTGGGGGGGCCAAGCAGGCCGTGGCCCTGGATTGTCTTGATGGAGTCCAGGAGGGGGGGGCTGGTGATCCCTGAGATGAGGGTGGGGGATGAGGCGATGAGGCGGCTCTGGCTGGTGGTGGTGGGTGTGGATGGGGTGCTGGTACCCGTGCCTGCGCTTGACTCAGATGTGCTCACAGCAGGGGTCCGGGAAGAGAGCCCCAAACCTATGAAGACACAAAGGGAAGAAACAGGGCTGAAGGGCAGCTGGAAAGGCCAGCGCAACCCTGGACCATCTAGCCACCAGTGGTGTGCCCCTGGTATCATTCAGAAGTTAACTACCCAGGCGAAGCACTCTGAAAACCATTCAAACCACAGCTAAAGACCGACACACAAAGATGTTTACTCTGTGTTATTTATAATGGAAAAAATTACAGACAACTGAAATGTACATTATCGAAGGGTTCAATATGTACATTATCGAAGTGATCAATCTCCTTTATTGAACTGCTTATTAAAAAGGAGGTTATGTTTGTAAAAAAAAAAAAAAAAACACATGAGAGAGAAAATCAAAGTAGGAGGAAAATGTGATCAAAATGTGATGTGGGGGTGGGTGGGATTAAGCAGAATTAATTATTTATTTATTTTTATGTTTAACCGTTCTTTTTGATTCTTTAACAACTAACTTAATTTTTTTAAAAAAAATCTGTAGTAAAAGGGTTTGGGATTTTTTTGGCTGTTGTTTTTCATGAGGAAAGTAGAAAAATATTTACAATTAGCAGGTTAAGAAGAAAAAGATGAAAATTGAAAATGGCATCTAGTATGTGGTTATAACTATGTTTTTAGCAGAAGAAACCATAAATCCGTGCACTGAAAAAGATAATAACCAGATAACCAGAGTTTGCAGGAAGGTGTACTGAAGAAATAAGCTCTATCATACAGTCAGGGGGAGTGCATCCTTAAACAAAAAAAAATTGCATCAAGTCTTCTAATTCATTGCTAACTTAGCAATGGTGGTGGAGGTAGTGAGCCACTCAGTCAGTTCCAACTCATAACTCCCTTGTATAGAGTTTCTGAAGCTGTAAGTCTTTACGGGAGCAGAAAGTCTCATCTTTCTCCCTAGGAGGGACTGAAGGATTTCAACTGCTGACCTTGCAGTTACACAACTCACAACCCACTATGCTACCAGGGCTCCTTCATTTGGCAATGTTGTTAAGTGCTGTCGAGTTGGTTCTGACTCCCAGCGACCCTGAGTAGGGTTTACAAGGAATAGCTGATGGGTTTGAACCACACTACCTTGTAGTTCAAATCAACCTTGCGGTCCAGTTCTTATCTTACAGCACCATACTAGGACTCCCTTAATTTGGCAGTAGATATCAAAATTTTAAATATACATAATTTTTGACCAAGGAATTCTACTTCTAGAAAGCTACTATAAAAAATATTCACATCAGTGTACCAAGCTCTGTGTATACAGAACTTTAAGACAAAACTGTGATCAGATGAAAGTGTGTTCACAACTCATTTTTTCTCAGTGAATAAAAACCATCAAGTATATTTTGATGCAGAGCAACCAGATGAGTGGCAGAGCAGAACTTCATTCTACACGGTCTACATGGCTGTGGCTTTTCAGAAGCAGACCACCAAGTCTTTCTTCCTAAGCACAGCTGTGTGGGTTCCAACAACCAACCTTTTGACTAGTAGTTGTGCATTTCACCGTTTGTACCACCCAAGGTCTTTTCCTCAAAAGGGGGCAGTGTAAACAGATGTGGCCCATTCTCATTACAGAGTAACTACAGAGCCACAAACACATAGTGAAGTGACACAAAAAGTATAAAAAAGGAACTCACAAACATCATGAACCGATGTATTCACACACACACACTTCACATGTATATACAAGGAGACTTCTAAAAGTTTGTGGAAAAATTCTATGATCTTTTCATCCCATTTTTCCATGAACTTTATGAAACTCCCTCATATGGACAACAAATGTGTCTATGTGAATACACAGGAATAGATCTGGGAAGAGACATGCCAAACTGCTAATTGTGGTTCTCCCTGGGAAGGAAGAAGAATTTTTGGGTTCAAGAAGATTTTCATATTTTTTATTTATATGCTTCTATATTATTTGAGTGTTTTGCCTGGTGAGTTCACCCATTTTTTCACATCTGTGGTTAAAGGATAAAATTAAACAAATTATGGAGAAAACATATAAAAATGCTAACAATAGTAGGACTAAGGCTATTTTTTTTGTCTCCTTTTGGCTTGTCTACAATTTTGAAATTGTCTATAATGCCTATGCATTGCCTTTATAATAAAAAGTCTAACAAATACATTTATGATAGGAAAATCAAGTTAAAGTCAGGCATACAGCCCTACCACAAAACACATATACGTATTTAAAAAAAAAAGACAGTAAAAAAAAAAAAAAAAAGGACTAAAAAAGACTCTTTGAGCTACTAGGTTAGGAGTTGGGAATTATAAAAGTGGCTTTTTTTTTTTTTTTCTCTCTTGGTTTCTCTTTTCCCCAAATTTCCTTTAATATGCTTATATTACTTTTTTAATATTACTTTTATAATGAAAAAATCAATTCAATAAAACCATAAAGGAATGTGCAGAATACAGCTGGGACCACAGGGAAACTCACTGTGAGAAGTGAAACATCTCAGTGAGAAGGCGGGGAGGGGGAGCCAAGGAAGGATGCAATGGCCTCTGGAGAAGGTCTGGCCACCAAGCTCTGAAGCAGCTATTAGGCAGATGCAGCCCTGAACACTGCCCCAGGGTATCCCTTGGGCATCCCAGCCTCAACCTGTCCCAAACTGACTCCTCATCTTCCCTGACCCTGTTCCTCCCCCTGTGATCTTATCTCAGCAGCCCTGTCCACTGGCCAGGCCAGAAATCTGGGAGTCTCACTCACTTCTCCCACTCCTTGAGCTACTACATCCAGTCCAGCACCAAGCCCTGTCTACTCTTCTTCCTCAATGTCCCTCAGATTTGTCCATCTTTCCCCTTCGCTGCTGCTGTCCCTATTGTCACTTCCTCATCCAGGTCACCATCACCTTCTGCAGCTCTCCCTGCCTCCATACTTGCCCCCTGCCAACCCAGTCTCCATCCTGCAGCCAGACACTGATTTTTAAACTCATCATTCTCTCCCCTACTTAAAAAAAAAAAAACCTTCAATGGCTCCCCTCTGCCAGAGGGTAAAGTCTGAACTCTTTAACAAGTCTCACCATAAAACCATACCCCATTGCCGTTGATTCCAACCTGAAGCAACCCTCTAGTGCAGAGCAGGTATGCCCCATAGGGTTCCCAAGACAGACTGTCTCATCTTTCTCCTGCGAAGTAGCTGGTGGGCTCAAACCACAGCTCTTTTGGTTAGCAGTTAAGCACTTAACCATTGTATCACCAGCCTTAGCATGAGCCACAGGGCCCTTCGTAATCCAGTACCTGCTTCCTGTCTAGCCTCAGTAGAACCATGTATAGCAAAAAAGGTGGTTAAGATTTGGGTTCTAGCAAGCAAGCCTGACTCTGCCACTCATTAACTGTAAAACCATGGTTTCATGTGACTCGACCTTTCTCTGCCTCCATTCTTTATCTGCTAAATGGAGACATTTAAGTTTGAACAGAATGAAAGTGCTGGTTTTTCAAGTAAAAAACTGTCCATGGTTTAACCAAGGGGTAGAGCATGTCCCCATGAAATCATTAGTCTGACCCTATCAAGGCAACCGAAGTTAGTCACCACACTGTTGCTGTTGTTAAGTGCCATTGAGTTCATTCTAACTCATATTGACCCTGTATAGGGTTTCTGAAGAGTAGCTGGTGAGCCTGAACCGCCAACTTTGCAGTTGAAACCAACCTTGGCATCCAGTGCCTTAACCCACAGCCCCACACCAGGACTCCAGTCATCACATTGGGGGTGAGTTAATTATATGTTTGACCAAATATAGCAGGCTAATTTTTAAATTGATGATTTTGTATGGCCCGCAAATGATGGTATAATTGTGGCAGAAAAAAGTTTCCCCACCCCTGGAACCTCATCTAACAGGACTGCTGGGAGTAATAATCAAATATTGGTAAAGCCAGACAGGTACTCAGACTGGAGTTAGCGGCTGTCCTTATTTGCTATCATTTGGCCTCCCTGTCCAAGACTGTTTACTCTTTTTTTTCTTTTAATGTTTTATTGTGAATTATGTGATAGTTTACATGGGAGAACATTAGCTTTACATTTATCCTATTGTATATTGTTTCATTGCCATAGTTACAATCCTCTCCATGCATCATCAACCAACCAAAGGGTATATACCCTACAAACCTGCCCGCCTTCCCCCTCTCCCCCCCCACCACGGGTCATCAGCACACAGCCCCTCTCCCTCTCTGGATCTAAAGTCCCCAGCTGCTCCATCTCTCCATGTCATCGTCTCTGCCTCCATCTCTGGCATCACTGCTTCTCTGGGTAGGGTCCCACTCTCCACTCTTCTCCATTGATGGTCCTAGGGACCTCCTCTCCTAGACTGCAAAGTCAATCACTCCCCTCCCTTTGCTACAAAACGTTTACCTTTACATTTCCAACCCTCACAATCAGTCCTGAGAACAATTATTCACTATTGTATCCCAAGAGACCTATCTGCATCTCCTTTCACCAAGATTGTTTACTCTTGATTTCCACACATGCTGTCATTACACATGCTGTCTCCTCTTCCGGCTCCATTTTCCTGGTTTCACTCCAAGGAAGTCTTCCCTCAACCCCCAAGTGTGGTCAAAGTGCATCTCAGGATTCCCAAAGGTCTCTAAGTGCTGGTCCTCACCCCGCTTGTGCAGTTTTGAGTCAGAGGAAGTCTGGTGGGTTGGCTACTCTGAACTTCCTCTAGTCTTTGCTCACCCTGCCCCTTTTCCCTTGCCCATCCTTCACCTAGCCATATTGATCCTCCCTAAGCACCCAGACCCACCCTGCTCGGTGTCCATCCAGAGCTCGCCGTCATAGCACTCCCACCCTCACCCATCCCTCAGCCCAGCCGTACCTGTGACAGTGCTGGTGGCGGGCCGAGCGTGCAGAGCCACATCCGGCTGAGGCACAGCCTGAGGGTGCAGCCCGGGCACCTGCTGCAGTTTGGGCAGTGACATGACCGCCTGGCTGCTCTCGGCTGGCGCTGGCGGCACCAGCAGCGGTTGCTGCGACGACGCTGACGTGGGTGGCAGGTGCGGTGGCCGGATCTTCTCTGCCATCAGCTGCTCCTTGATCTTGTTAATCAGGACCAGGTTGTCCAGCTGTGGGGAGATGAGGAGAGGGACTGAGGGGGCTTGGGCCATGCCTGGCCCCTCCCA